CTGCCTTCTAACCGGGACAGAACATGTAGCTGGCCCCAGGTGAAGGACATTGTTCACTGCTCTGGGAGGGGAAAGCACTAAAGCACTGGGTGCACTGATGGAGGGACACGTGAGGCGAGCCCTGGCAGCAGCACCTCCTGTGACAGAGAAGGGACAACCCACTGGAGGGAGGCCTCACCATGCGGTACTGCGTGTCCAGCATCCATGCCTGCCTCTGGTAGCGCTCAAAGAGAGACGTCTCCATGCCAAGGCTCTTGCAGAAGTCATTGTTGACCACAGGCCGCAGCTGTTTGTGATCCCCAAGCAAAACAACCTGGAAGAAAGAGTGGACACCTCAGCTCCGAGGGTGGTGGCACTGGTGAGGGCCATCAGCTCTTTGGAAGGTCATCTACACACAGACGTTGCTCCTTATTTATGTTATGGTTACAGCAACCTCAATTAAGGACCATGCTGGGCATTATACAAAGATCCTGACCTGGGTAATGCAGAGCCTAGTTCCCATCTGACAGGAGAAAGGCATCATGGAGGAAGTCTACTGAGATCTGGTCTATGCTTCTTGTCATGTTAATACTTGATAGCTGGGTCAGCACATTTTTTGGTGGCAAAGATACCCACTCTGTAAACAGCACCAAAAAGCCAGCACCCAACCATTGTCCTCTTACAGAAGGCCAAAAGCAAGTTGAAAGGAGAACACATGGGTGTGACTGTGAAGACAGAGCTGAGCTGATACACACAGCAGAAGGGTGAGCAACTCTCTGAGCAACCTGGGCCAGGGGCTCACCACCCCCAGCGTCAAAAATGTCTTCTCTAGTCTAAATCGCTCTCTTTTACTTTAAACCCACCACTCCTTGTCCTATCCCAACAGGTACTGCTGACTATATTGTCCCCACCTTCCTGATAGGTCCCATGAACAGGTCATGCATCTAGTGAGAACACCTCTGTACTGCATCTACCTCTCCGTGCCTCAACATTTTCATTACAGTGAGTTACACCTCTGAGGAAACAACTCCCTGAGGGCTGAAACACTGACAGACCATCACAGACACCACAAAGAACAACCTCAAAACCTGGTGAAGCTGGGAAGAGCAGCACGGTGAGGGCTGGAAGCCACGCAGAGGTTTGAGAGCCCTGAGCAGCCACCCTAGAGACGCGTCTTTGGAAGGACTTACCTTCTCAGCATGCTTGTGGCTGACCAAGGGGATGAGGGTCTCGGGCTCCGTGGCCATGGCACACTCATCGATGATGACCTGCCTGACGTTGAGCTTCTCCAGGGAGGGGGCAGATGCAGCAGAGCACGTGCACAGGATGACATTGTGGCGCGCCAGCTCGTACGCACGGGCATCTGTCAGCATCCTTTTATACCTGGGGGTCGATGGAGGAGACACCAGGTTATGCACAAGGGAAACATCAACAAGTTCCTCCTGCCTGAACCTCCATCTCCCTCCCCAAGATGCCCAGTAAAGGGCCTCAGATGTGGGAACTGTACTTTGTCCTGGACTCCGCAGAGCAGAGGCTCGAGGTGGAGGATGCCACACGTGGATAACATGACTTTGGGTCCAGCTGGACAGCAGCCCCAGGGCAGGAGTGCTGCTGAGGCTCTGCACTGGACTGCTCACCCAGAGCTCAACACTTTTTTATCACCATTCCAACCACACGAGTCATCTGTCCAGATGTTTTCAGGGAGTCACCACGAGCCAGGACAAACCCGCCGCCTTCCACACAGTCCAAGAGTTTGGGTCAGCTGAGAGCTACCAAGCAGCTCCCCTGGCACTGCACGAGGTGGCACGTGGCCAAAGTCTCCCCAGGGGCTCGTTCTACTCACTTCTTTGTTTCTTCTTCTGTTATCTCCTCTCCTCTCTTCACCCGAGTGTCGAAGTAGCAGATCTGCTCGCAGAAAGGGTTGGGTGGGCGCCGGATGCGATGGTGCAGGATTATTGGGCTGAGGAAAGAGTCAATCTATAAATATTTTCTCCAAACACAGACCCAAACGATCTCTTCTACAGCGAAGTGGACCACACCTGTCTATGTGGAGAAGTCCTGCTAGCTGAAGAAGTCACAGCCAGCCTGGCCCATCTTTATAGACCTAAGGCTTAATTCACCCGAGGACACAAAATACACTTTTCTTTAGCAGCTGCAAGTGTGAATGAAGTCAGAGACTTCTAGAGCTGTTCAAAAGAGAGATGACAACAGCTAGGATCTTTTTGCATCATAGAATAGTTTTGGTTGGATGAGGCCTTTGAGGTCATGGAGTCCAACCCTTCCCCAGCCCTGCCAGGTCCCCACTGCCCCGTGTCCCTCACCCCACATCTCCACAGCTTGGGAACCCCTCCAGGAGTGGGGACTCCACCACTGCCCTGGGCAGCCTGGCACAGCCCTGGGCAACCCTCCAGGGCAAGAAATTGTTCCTCAGGGACAACTGAAACCTCCCCTGGGGCAACTTGAGGCTGTTTCCTCTTATGCTGTCACTTGTTCCTTGGGAGAACAGCCCGACCTCCAGCCTCCTGTCAGGGAGCTGTCAGAGCCAGAAGGTCTCCCCTGAGCCTCCACACTAGTGCTGATCCAGGCCAGGATGCTGGTGGCCTTCCTGGCCACCTGGGAACACACTGATTCACCTTCAGCCAGCTACTGACCAGCATCCCCAGGTCCTTTTCCACCAGGCACCTTTCCAGCCACACTTCCCCTTCTCAACAGCCTGGGTTTCCTGCCTAGGTGCAAGGTTAGACTATACACCTTCACTTGAAAAAAATAACCACGAAGCAGGTAAATCATGCTGCTCCACAGAAGCAGAATCCACATATTCTCTGGCTCGTTCAGCTTTACCCATGCAGAAAATATCCCTGCCCAGTGCTCCCAGAGCCTGGGGGGCCGTGAGGTCCTACCTGAGCTCACGCTTCGGTTTCGTGTCCCGCAAGGTCCTGTGGTAGAGGTGCCGGTTGCTCCCTGGGTATGGAAATTCCATTGCCTCAATGGCCTCCCCATAAACCCTCAGGGGCTTCAGGCCCTTAATCCTCAGCAGCATCTCTGGGGAAGGAGAACAGATCTGCTCAGAGAGTGCCAGGCACCAGTGATGCCCAGGAAGCCCACGGCCTGCGAGGCAAACTCCATCTGCTGTGCACTTGCCTCTTCTCCCCACCCCTCACACCCCAACCCCACCTCCACTGGTCCTCGCCCTGCAGAGAGGGGTCCCAGCCCTGCAGAGAGGGGTCCCAGCCCTGCCTTCTGCCCCTCTTGCTCATGGCCACATGTTCTCTTTCCTACCATTAGAAGCAACTTCAGGGGCTTAAAACCAATAGTTACCAGCAACAACATCAACAGACTTGTTCGATGGGCCACAGTACAAGATGCACCTTGGCTTCTCCTCTTCAGAGGGTGGTGTTTGCTCATTCTTCATGGCATCTTCATTCAGCTCATAGAACCAGTAGACAATGTGAGTGCCAACAACAGTTTTCCCTGTGCCTAGAATAACAAGGAGGTCGCTGAGAACACTTTAACCACAACTCCTCTGCTCTAGGTCAGCATCCAGAGGATCTACCATGGCATAAAATCAAGAACTAAGGGGACTCCCTTGAGTGGCTGTAGGTGATGCCAACCCATACTACCTTCTCCTGTCTCAGCAAAGGTCCTACAGAAAGCACTAGGTTAGCTCTGACCTGCCTTTCCTAACCAAGAAGCCAGGTACTCGTGCCACCTCCCAAGCCTTACCTGGTGGGCCTTGGATGATGGTGAAAGGTTTTCTCAGAGCATTTAGAATAGCCCTGTTCTGACTCTGGTTCAGCTTCCTGTGGCTGTCAGGGAGCTCAAAGGAACTTTGCTTCAGGATTTTGGATGTTGTCACTGTTACAGCAAAGAGCCAAGAAAGCAAGTTTAAAGAAGGTTCCAGAAGACAGCACACGAGATTCAACAGGAGGATGCAGCAGGTACCAAGTATCGTGGCCCCTTCACAAGACCCCCTAAAATTAATCTTTGTTCTACATGTTCTACCCATGAGCCTTCCCTGTGGGTCCTGAGGATTCAAAGGTCCTCCTCCCCCTGGCAGGGGAACCTCCTGCTCTGGGATCATCACCCCTATGGCAGGGACCCATGGAAGCAGCCAGGCCACCTGACTGGCCAGAAGCAAATAGCCACAAGGGAAGAAAGGTGAATATTTGCACCTACCTTTTTTAGGAGGATCATGGCCAAGGGCAATGCTTTTAGCAAGCATGGAGGCGTCCTTGAGCTTCCAAATTGCCCTTTCTTTCCGTCTGACAGAGAGGGGAAAATCAGAATTAATGTAATTTAGCATAAAACAGTGAAAAATGTCACACAGCTTTGTACAACTGCCTTGTTTACTCTGTCTCTCTGTTTTGATGCTGTATTAAATCCTCCCACAAAGAGCTTAAACCAAAAGCTCTCTTATTCTGCTCTTTTACCCCTGGGACTGTTTCTCAACCGTCTGAAGAGCTGAGCCTGTGAAGGTGTTGACAGCAAGGAGCACAACTTCTGTCCCAACTCCATTCTGTTATGGCCTTCCCCATTTTATTGGATTAGCTTCCAATTTTTTCCTAAAATTTACAATGTCAAAGGGAGCAGCTTCCACCCTGAAAAAGCTACGGCCGTCCTGGGCATGTAGCAGTCCAGGCTGTATAAAAAGAAGAGGGCAAGCTGGACATCAGCTCTGCTTCAGGAAGAGCAGATCTTGCTTCACAGCAATCTAGTAATATAAGACACAGATGCCCGGGGAAATTCCAGCACAGCACCTTCCTCTGTCTCCCCATTCTCTAGGTCAACCAGAAGAGCAAGAGCCCACCTGGAGAACAAGTCTGAGAAATGCTGCCACCCCCACCCAAACACCAACAGCCCAACAGCACGGCTGGTTGGAGTTGGGCAAAGAGACTTTGCAGGGGGTCAGCCCCACGGGCGAGCAGTGGGGCAAGCAGAGGAGCCCCGTGGGAGGCCCTCTCTCCACGGAGGGGTCAACCAGAGCGCGGCCACTACGTGCACTTACATGTCTGGCAGCATCTTTGGTATGAGCTCCACCGTGAACCTGGATGAGTCCTTTGAGACTTCAGCAGGGATGTTCTCCATAGACATGTGGTGGATGTAAAAGTTCACAGTCTGCTGATCAGCCCTGTCCGACTTCTCGCTGTCGCCAAACTCTTCGGTGACCCCGTGAGCCACCCAGGTGTAGGTGTCTGGGTCAACCACAAATTTGCCCTCTGGCCTGCCCTTGTGAAAAGCTGGGTCCTGGAGGCCGTGGCTCTGAAGGTTCCGAACCTTCAGCCCACCTAAGCGAATGCACAGGTAGCAGTTGTTGAAGTCCACTTCAATGGAGCACTGCTCCAAACATATTTTGCTCAGGGTGAAACTCCCTTGGAGCTGTTCTTTGCTTGTCCTTTGCCTCGCCCAGGTTATTCTGACGTCCTGGAGGACAATGGAGTCGTTCTCGGCCACCGCGCACAAAGCGGACTCCATGGCGCTCATCGGCGCCCACACCTTGTCGTACTCCGCCGTGCTCTTGTACCTCTCCTTGGATGGCAGGCTGGCGTAGGCAGAGAAGCACTCGATGGGCTTCTCCGTGTGCTGGAGGCAGATGTCAAAGCCCGGCGTCACGCACCACAGCTGCACGAAGGGCACCAGGAAGCCCCGATGGACGTCCGTGGTGAGCTGGAACAGCAGCGCGTCGCCGGCGCTCAGGTCCAGGGTGAGATCCACGTAGTGCAAGCAGTGGCTCTTCCTCACCCAGCCCACGCGCCGCTGGTAGGGCTTCTCGCTGCTCTGCAGGAGGGTGGCAGCGGCCCCGAAATCCTCGTTCCTGACGGCCTCGAGGAGGTCTTGCCAAGTCCGGGTGCCCACGAAGGCGACGCTGTGGTCGCAGACCGGTCCCATCTCCAGGCTGTGCTGCTTCAGCGTCTCTGCAGAGTACACCCTCCTCTTCCACATCAGCCTGATGCTCTTCTGCTGCTCCAAGAACATGGGCTGCTCTATCAGCTGAAGAGACCTGTAGTTGATCGCCTGGGGGTCCGGAAGACTCTCTTTGTTCAGCGGAAACAGGACTTTAAAATGCCTGTTGACCCCTTCGATATCCACGACAAAGGCGACCTTCTGCAGGACTTGGCCCTTCAGCTGGGTGGCCATCTGCACGCAGCGGGCTCTCTTCTCGTACATCGTCGCCTGGCAGTTCTTCCTGTTGAAGTCGTGGCAGAGAAACTCGATGTCGTCGGGGGAATAGCCGACGGGCCTCTTGCGGAGCACGGCGTGAAGGTGCCGCTGGAGCACGACATCCACGTAGCGGCGGATGGGCGAGGAGGCCCAGGTGTAGGAGTCCACGTGCAGGGAGTAGTGGCCCGCTTTCGACTGGACGGTGGAGTTGGAGCGACAGAAGTAGGAGCGGCTGAGCAGCCTCCTGAACTCCAGGGTCACGGGGGCCAGCTTGGGGTGGATGTCGTCGGTGACGACGAGGTCTAGCATCTTGTCGATGTCACGGTCGCGGGCGGCTGACTGCAGGTGCTTCCAGACTGGGGCCAGGAGACTGAATTCCACAATCTGAGAGGAGTCTTGGTCAGCAGGCACCTCTTCCAGGTAGTGCGAGAGATGGATGGACAAAGGAAGGAAGTGGCTGCACTTGCTTTTCATGGATGATAACTGTTGAGGGCTTGGCTCGCACTGGCACCGGAGAGGAGTGACACTTCTGGTGTCCTCCTGGTTGGTGAGGAACTCGGCCACAAAACTGTTGAACATGATCATTAACTCCTCTATCATCTGATGAGACCCCCTGTTACCCGGGGAGGTTTCCTCGTCCAGCCGCTCGTAGAAGCAGTCCTCCTGCAGCCGACACTTCCGATGGACCCTGGAGAAGTGGTAGGCCACAGCTATGCAGTCCTCCAGGGTGTCGAAACACAGCGCCCTGGCCTCTCCCCTGTAGTGGTCCTTAATGCAGAGCTCTGCCTCTTCATAGGACAGCTGCCTGTCCGAGCGGATCACGGAGGTGGTGAAGACTCCCTTTAGCATCTCATCCGTCTCCTTTTTGACGGTGACAAACAAGGAGATCACCTGGCGATCTTTCTGGGGCAGGAGGCTGCAGACGTCTTGGCTGATGTGGGGTGGGAACATGCACAGAGGCTCCTGGTTGGGAGCGTAGTAGGTGACGCCTCGCTTCTTTGCTTCCAGGTCCAAGACGCTGCCTTTGGGAATGACACCAGCCACGTCTGAAATGTGGACCCCAATCTCATAGTGACGCCCAAGGTCCCTGACGGTGATGGCGTCATCCAAATCCCTGGCCCCTTCAGGGTCGACAGTGAAGGTCGGGTAACTCCGACAGTCCTTCAGATTTTCCTTGGTGACGTTTATTTTGCTGCTGGAGGAGTATCTGGCCGACTCCTCGTTGACAGCAGCCGGGTATTTCTTCTCCAAACCATACTCCAAGTTGAGGATTTTCAAACCTTCTTCCAGCGTCAATGCTGCGTGCAGAATCTCCGTTACTATCCCCAAGGGGTAGTAAAACCCTTCCCGCCAGGAGATAACCTGCACGCAGAAGAACTGGCACCTCCTCGTGTCCTGCCTGATCTTCTCACAGCTGACCACCCTGTACTTCCCGTTGACCAGCCTGCGGATGGGAACGACGTTGGGTTTCTCTTTCAGCCCCGGGACGAATATTTTGGTGACAGTGGGATCGATGGGTATCATCACCCGGGGGTCGAACTCGTCCATCATGCAGATGAAGGTCCGCTCCCTCTCGGCACGCCTGAAGATGCCCACCACCCTCCCCTGCGGGCGGTGGCTGCCGCCCTCCGCCGTGCTGCCCTGCAGGAGCTCCACCAGCACCTCATCCCCCGTGAAGGCCGTCCCGCAGTTCACTCTGCCTTTGATCTGGATGCTCATGGCGGGGGAGTCGTTCAGGGTGAAGGCAGAAGCTCTGTCAAACCCTTCTTTGATCAGCTCGCACCTCTTGTACATTTTGGGATGCATGTGCAGGTACTCCTGCATCATCTGAGAGTTGAAGCTGACGTATTCCTGCCTGTCCTCCCACACGTTGGAAGCCTCGGACTTGACGTTCAGCAGCCCTTCTTCGGACACCGTCACCAGCGTGTTCTTGCTCTCATCCAAGAGCTCCTGGAGGATGGGATCGTCAGGATTCACGCTCTCACCCTCAGAGCTCGACGAATCCGTGTCACTGTCTTCCTCATCCTCCTCCGGGCTCCTCCTGCTCCAGCTCTCCTTGTCGCTCGCAGCCTGTTTGATGTCAGCCATGGTCAGGTTCTCGGGGGAGACGCTGCCCTGCTCGATGCACTGCTGGATGAAGCGTTTCCACACCTTGCTGCACTGGCCGTGGGAGCACAAGGCCACGGCGTCCCCCACGGCCACCACCAGGGACTGAGCCCGGGTCATGATGGTGTTGAGCACTCGGGCTTCGTTGAAGAACTCGAGGTGGTGGGAGGCTGAGATGTGCAGGCTTTTGCTGGTGTGGACCGTGCTGATGATGATGACCCGGAACTCCCGCCCTGCAGCGGAGGGGACAAGGGAGAAGTCACTCGTGGGAACCCAGTGGGGAAGACCCTGTCTGGCTGCTGCCTGGGGCTCAGCCAGCCTGCGCTGATGTAACCTCGGGGGGCTGAGTCAGGGGAGTCATCTGATGCAAATAAAGCAGCTCTGGGAGATCAAAAGAGCACCAACCAGGACGGGCACCACGAGGCCACCACCCCCCAGGCACCATGGAGGGAAGGGCAGCGTGGGGGTGGGAGAAGGGCACAGCACAGGACGAGTGAGCCCCCAGGGAGCAGCCCCGTGTGCCCAGTGCCACCAGCAGCCCCCCCAGCTGCTCCCTGCAAACAGGGGGGGAGTTCCCTGTGAGTCCCAAATCCCTCAGGGAACCGAGGGTCTCGCAGGCACGAGAGCAGTGACCGTTCACAAGCATCCCCCCCCTCAAGGGCAGCTCTGCTGACCACACCACAAAGAACAACCAACAAGAAGCACCCTGGTGATTTCAGAGCTGGGAAAAGGCTGCAAAGAAAGGGTGTGGAGCTCAGAAACACACCCCAGGCTCAGTTACTCTCACCACGAGGAGTCCCAGCTGCACAATAAAAAATAAATGATAATAATAAAAACATGGATGAGTCACAAACTCAAGTCCTTGAGGACAAAACCAGCCCCATCCCTCTCTCGTCACGCAGAGCAGCAGCCTCCTCCTCTGGTGAGCTGTTCTGTGATTTTTTTTGCTGCAACTGGTACCCACAGGCCATCCTGGTTTCAATTCCCTTGTCTTACTGCCCTCCCCCGCTGGTACTTGGGCTTCACATGATTCACACAAGCTCAAGTCCCTGGGATGGCACCTACAGGGTTTTCACCCTCCTACAAAGCAAGGTCCATATATCTGAAACGAGTTGACAGCCTGGTGAGGATTTAATTCAGTGTGAAATCTTATTCACTAAGGAAAAGACAAAACCAAAGATTACCCAAAGAGAAAGGGATGGGAATCAGCCAAAGGATTTCCAGGCACTGCCTCTCCTGATGAGCGGGACCTGGGCTGTGGCCACCGCAGAGGTGGCAGAGCCAAGGGGAAGGGCAGGGGAGCCAGCAAGGGACTTTGCTAGGAGATCAGCCAGTATTTGGCATTTTAGCAAGCAGGACAACGTTGGGATGCCAGAAAGACCTCTGCTAACAACCCAGTATCTCTTCCCCTGCTCACTACACAGTGGCTGTAAGCTGCAATAGACTGTCCTCTCCCCAGCACAAGTGGGAAAGTTCTCCCTGGCACACAGAAGACCTCAGAACGCAGCCAGGCATGACTAACTATTGCACAAGACACAAACCTGGCAAGTTTTCATAGTTTTCTACCACCACATCTTGTAGCTGCTTCTTCCTCAGCTCTTGTCTTGTGGCAGAAACCTGTTGAGAAAGAAATAAGCCCAGCTGAACACAGCTGCAGCTCAGAAACAGCCCCCACCCAACGCCAAGGTCCCTCCCCCTTCTCAGCAGCAGGTTCCCTAAGAAAGTTACTCAGCAGCAGCCACACGGCTCGAGCTGACTTCAGTCAGTGCTCCCAGTCTGCCCTAGAGCTACCCTGCCTAGAAGATACTGAGAGAAATATTCAGCTAAACCCTGAGGCATCTCTGCTCTGACCACCCATGACACGCTGGCCCAGTGGAGAGCACCTCAAAAAACCACTGGTGGTATGTAAGACCCCAGGTTCCCCCTTTTTCCTACCACAAGAGACAGGTTTAACCTAAACAGAGTCCACCACTTCCTGAGGAATGTTTAGGGAGTGGTCAGCAGCACATGCACAGCTCCTTATCATAGAATCATAGAATCATAGGGGTTGGAAGGGACCTCAAAAGATCATCCAGTCCAACCCCCCTGCCAGAGCAGGGTCACCCAGAGTACATCACACAGGAAGGCGTCCAGGCGGGTTTTGAATGACTCCAGTGCAGGAGACTCCACAACTTCTCTGGGCAGCCTGTTCCAGTGCTCCGGCACCCTCACAGGAAAAAAATTTTTCCTGATATTCACCTTGAACCTCCTATGCTCCAATTTGCACCCATTACCCCTTGTCCTATCACAGGTCATCACTGAATAAAGCTTAATTCCATCTTCCTGACACTCACCCCTTACATATTTGTAAACATTGATGAGATCACCCCTCAGTCTCCTTTTCTCCAGGCTAAAGAGACCCAGCTCCCTCAGCCTTTCCTCATAAGGGAGATGCTCCACTCCCCTAATCATCTTTGTAGCCCTACGCTGGACTCTCTCCAGCAGCTCCCTGTCCTTCTTGAACTGAGGGGCCCAGAACTGGACACAATATTCCAGATGCAGCCTCACCAATGCAGAATAGAGGGGGAGGAGAACCTCTCTTGACCGACTAACCACACCCTTTCTAATGCACCCCAGGATGCCATTGGCCTTCTTGGCTACCAGGGTACTACTTGGCTACTTCCTTCAAGTGGGGAACTCATGGTTCTCCTACATACCTGCCTCCCGTGGGAGACCACGCAGATCCTCTTCAGATCTCGGTCGCCCCACTCGCCCGGCCACTTCTCATAGATCTCCTTCACCTTCTCAGCCACCTGTATGATCTCGGAGGCATTGTACCAAGAAATCATGGACACGTCCTTTTCAGCCACGCCAGACACGTGGCAGAACACGAGTGGGTAGATTTCGGGGTGCCGTGGGATGTTCCCACTGGCGTGGATGGCGTTCCCTTTGCCCACGTAGAAGTGCTTGGAGACAAACTCAATGATTCCTGCAGTGGAACGATAATTTTCATTGAAGATGATCCTGCTCTTTATGGCCACCTCGTGCTTCTCCTTCTGGTAAAACTGGAAGAGTCGATTTAGCAGGGTGTGATCAGCAGATTGTCCACCCCCAACGCAGAACAGCTTTGGGGTTATCTGCATGTGGTCCCCGGCGAGGACAATCCGGGTCCCAAAAGTGGCGTAGGAGAGGGGAATCAAAGCTTCACACTCCAGCATCTGAGCGGCCTCGTCGATCATGATGTGGGTGAAGTAGCCCGGGGCAACCTTTAAGTTCTTGGATAAGGTGGAGGTGGTGATAATGACGTGGTGCCTGTCGATCTCCTCCCGCGTGGGGTGGCGGAAGGAGCGCTGGTCGGGCGAGAGGCAGCAGTACATCTGGGTGATGGGGTCCGTCAGGCTGACGGGACGGTCGGTGGATATGATCCTCAAGGGGACGGCCCACGGACGGCCGTGGGTCACGTAGGTGTGGAAGTGCTCCCGGATGTAGATGTCAGCAGCACTGGAGGGGAACAAAAGGGAATTGTCAAGGAATTGTCAGTGCTGGTCCCAAACGTCGTGACCGTCATCCCAATGCACCAGCGGCTCCTTCGCCGGCGAGCGCCCAAACTCTCCTCCAGCTCTTGCTGACAACGTGCTCCTCATAGGAGACACACAGACGTCTCAAAGACAATGGTGCTTGAGCAGCCACCAATTCCAAGCCCATTTTGGGAGTATGGTTTAAAACGGGAGTTGATACTTGAGACCAGAGCACCTGCAACTAGAGCAGGGTGCTCAGAGCCCCGGCCAACCTCCCCTGGGATGGTTCCAGGGATGGGGCAGTGACCACCTCTCTGGGCAGCCTGGGCCAGGGGCTCACCACCCTCAGTTTTCAAAATTTTTTTCCTTCTCTCTAGTCTAAATCTCCCTCTTTCAGTCTAAAATGATCCCCCCTTGTCCTGTCACAACAGGCCCTGCTCAAAAGTCGTTCTCCAGCTTTGACAGGCCTCTTGAAGTCCTGAGAGGCCACCAGAACATCTCCCCAGCTGGAGCCTTCTCCTCTCCAGGCTGAACAAGCCCAGCTCACCCAGCCTGACCTCCCAGCAGAGGGGTTCCAGCCCTCTCAGCATTGTTGTGGTTCCTCTGGCCCCGCTCCAACAAACATCCTCCAAAGATCTGTGGCCGTGCTGCTCTCCAGGGCCAGGTCACACTGTGTGGCCTCTCCTTGGACAGTTCACCATCCCCAGCCCAGGTGGGTGGTACAAGATCTGCAGAAGCTTCAGTGCAAGCAGACAGCCTGGAAGAGGCTGAGATCAGCAGCCCTCATCTAATATACACCCAAAGGGAAGGCAGCAGGAGGCTGCAGGATAGGACGTGGACACTCTTCAGTGTAACTAAAGTCTAACTTTGACCCTCTTGGCCTGGTTTCTCTGCAGGCAGATTCAATGGCAGTCAGACCAGAACTGCATTTCCTCTCCCCCAAATTCTCCCTGAAAAAGTAAAAAAAAACTGGCATGTGCACAGAGCACAACAGTCTTTAAGAGCAAGTAGAGCACAAGGTCAGGCAATGGCTTTCTACTTCTTCCAGGACACTGGTGAGCCTAGAAGGAACCAGTTGTCTTCTCCAAGTCATCCCCACTTTACAATAAGGCAGGAAGGTGTTGCCTCTTCCACAAAGACTTCCACGCACGCCAGGCTCCTTCCTGGCAGGAAGTAGACATATTAAATAAAAATGAATTTATTTCAACAAGTAATTGAGAGGCACACTAAGCAAAGGGCAGCTCAGCTCCAGCTCATACACCCTGGCTCACCCCACCAGGCGAGCAAAGGACCAGCTTGCTCAGACCCAGCCCACGGCTCTGGTTGCCTCTTCCCTCATCCACTGCTAACCTGTTAGTGTGCGTGCAGATCAGCACCCGTGTGTTGCGCTGCCTGAGGATCTCCATGGTGGCCATGGCCAAGGTGAACGTCTTCCCTGTGCCAAAAGGCCCGTAGATGAGAAGAGGTGGGACCTGCCGGGTGCTGGTCGTCTGGCCCGTGATGAAGGAGATGGCTAGTTTCTGCTTGCTATTCCCTATCTGTGGGGATGCAAGAGAGTAGGGGATGGAGCAATTGGCAACATCTGGTAGGACCAGCTTCTCATCCATCAGACGGTCCACAGCCTGGTGCCAGTGCCGGAACAGCAGCTGGTCGATTTGGAACTGGATCTCCACCTTGTGGGAGGTGTTTGGCTTGAAGTTCAGGTCTGAGCAGCATCTCTTTGGTATCTGTAGCCAGATGGTCTTCTCGGTGGTGGCTTTATGCTCCACACCAACCTCATAAACCCTCTCATCTAAAGGTGGGTCAGGTGCCAGGAAAGCAGTGGGCACAGACCTGCTCAGCAGATAGCCCTCGTCCGTGTCCGGTGAGAGGTTATAAGGGGTAGGCACTTCAGCAAACAGCTCACCATTGAGGGCAAACTTCATCCCCATGGAGAGGCTCTGCAGCACGGGGGTCAGCGAGATTGGGACCCGCAGGTTGAGTCTGAAAGGAGGAAACACCCAAATGAACAGCAGAGAACGGGCCCATGGGTTCATCAGCAACCGCCCTCCCCGCTGCGGAGTGGGGATCACCCCCTACACCCAGAGAGGGTCTGCTGGCCCCCCGAGCAGACAGAGGCAGAAACGGTGCTGCCAGCCAACCCAGGGCCGCAGGACAAGACCCAGCCCTTCCCCTATCACCACCCACCACGCCACCTTTCTTGGCAGCCTTCCCTTCTTCCAGGAAGGCACCCCAGGACCCAGCTGCAGAAGGAGACAGCGGCTCCACCAGCAGCACGGCCCCAAGGGTCGGCAGGGAGCAGGAACCCTCTGGAGCCACCCGGGGCACTTACTTGGCCACCAGCGCCTGCTCGGCCTCCTCCTCGCAGAAGAGGAAGCTGTGCATCCTCTCCCGGTAGTTGAGGCGGGTGATGGGGACGGCCGCGGCGCCCTGGCGCTTGTAGTCCAGGGCGAGAGCCGGGGGCTTGTACTTGGCCAGCAGATCCACGTCCTCGCTGGTCCTCGTCACGCTGGGCACGATGATGCGGTTGCCCCTGTCCCACCGCAGGAAGTCGACGGGGCGGCTGCTCTCCCTGCTGCCGGGG